AGCACCACCGATGGCGTATTAGCAGCAGATCGGTACCCACTCACTTCTCTCCCTTCGCGGAGGCTCTTTGCAAGTTTCCCGGAGAAGCGGAACTCCAGCAACATCAGGCTCTGCTCCGACCTGAGACCCTCGGCAGACGCCCCCGAACCCTGGATCGCCGCGGCAGGAGATGACTTCGCCCGCGGCCCAGGTCAACGCGGGCATTTGGGGACGCAGCCCTACCCGGGGCCCAGGGGGTCCAAGCCGCTCCCCCGGGCCAGAGCCCAGAGGGTGGTCGCGCCCCGAGCTGCGCGCCGGGTGGCGGTCCACGCGACTCGCCCCGGGCTGGGCTCCGCGCATGGCCGTCCGCACCCGTTTCCAGGGAGGACCCCAGGGTGCTGCGAACGGCGGAGCCGGGGCGCGGGCTCCCCACGCGGGTCTGCGCAGGCGGCCGGCCGAGGCGTCCTGCACCCCGAGAAAGGGCGTCCCTTAGGCTGGGCTTTCCTCCTGGGAGCCACAAAGGGGTTTTTGTTCCAAACCTGGACTTAGGCGTCCTCGCAAATTCAAGCTCACTTATCAAAATTCGCATCAGGTATAGGAGTTGTTGAGGCCTGGCGGCGGGGAAGTGAGGGGAAGAGGGAAGGGGAAGTGAGGAAGGAGTGGAAATTAATACTGTTCTTTCCCTTCCTAAGGTTCTTATTGATTTTTTGAGATAAGGGAGTTGTAAATCTGCCCCTCTCTTATCCCTATCAATTCCCCCACCACACCTCCCAACCATCCTTCAGTGTGGGAAATAGGTTTGTGTTTTTCTTCCCCACTGAAATTTAAAAGGCGCCACTGCCAAGCAAAGAGGATGAACTGGATTTAAAACCGTTTGCAGTTGCTGGTAAGGACACGCATTCTCAGCCCAAGCTCTGTCCTCGTCTAGGGACCTACAGGATACACCTCTGCAGGGGAAAGGCAGAATACTTGGGTGTCTTAGGGGAGAGATGTTGCCTCTCCGGGTTTGAAACTGCTTTGATTTTGTCTGTTGGCCAACTCACAGGCAGGTTTGTTTTACGACTACAGACGTTACCCTGGGGGTTTATAATTCCAACTCAGAAGGGAAACATCAGTCATTTATCTCAGCACTAATACTAAGATTTTTCTTTAAGAATAAATCCTTCCCCTAAAACTTGAAAGCCCAACGCATACAAGTGAATACAAAGTATTTTCTTGAAAATAGGCAGCCTGTCTTTAAGACATATATAGTAGATCCGCTTAGAAAGAAATATATACAGTGTTTGGGATGAAAGCTCTAAACAATTCTGATCTCCAAGAAAGAGTAATAGGTACACGATTAACAATGAATGGATCAGGGTTTCTGAATTGAAAATAGTTTTAAGTTTGCACTATTTAAAGGTATATCCATATGATGTAGAAGACCTCTAACCTGAATAATCCTTTAATCTTTTATTATTTCCAAAATGATGTCAGCCAGAGAGAGATAAAGGTGATTTATTGTCATGGTAGAAGAATGATTTTTTAGTATGCAGTGTCATGGGAATTATAAATGATTTCTATAGTTAATGTAAATAAATACATGCTATATATGTAGAAATGTATATATGCAGAGGGAAAGGCTATCTTGGATTTTTACATTAAAAATAGACCCTTTCGGTGAGAAGTCAAATATATATATATTTTAAGACAAAGGGAACTATGCGAAAAACTATTGCTGGAACAGGCTGAAAATAAAAAGGAAGCATATATTTTTGAAAAACCACTGAGTTGCTGAAACACCCCAATCTTTATATTGGTATTGAAATAATGACAAAATGTGATCTGTTTTGTTTGGCAGCTTTGTAACAGCACATTTGTAAGACTGGCAGGGCTGATTAACTTTCAGGTAATTATTTTTCACAAGGCAGAAGTTTTAAAATGTGACAAAACAGTATATGCATCTGTAGGTATGTTTTTGAAAGTGGATTGGGCCGTGCATTTTAAATAAAAGCCTACATATTTATTAATCAGAGAAATATTATTATTTTGACAAGAATTCTTGAACTGCCTTAATGCAGAATGCATTTCTTTATCTGTGTGTCTCAGAGCTGTGGGAAGGCTGAAGATAAAACTCGGGAAGGGAAACAGCAGCCACACACACAAACACGAGGCCACCTGGCTTCTTGCCATAATACATGACATTCAATTATTTTAGTACTTTTTCATGAGCTTCCCTCCGTCCCAGCCTCAAACCCACCAGCCCTCCCAAAAATCCCTGCTTTTCTGAAATGGCATAGTTCTTTAGTTTTAGTATACATTTTCTCTAGCTTTATGTAGTAATTCGCTTCAAATTCTCACTGTAAAAAAGAAAGTGCCTAGGCTAAAATTTTTGCCATCTGCTTTGGCAACCCTCCTGTTAGGATGGACTGTGACTTCTTCCAGCAGGTTGAGAAGGGAAGGAACTACAATTGACTGTACTCAATGCTTCTAATGCTGTTTTGATGTATGCACATAAGAAATGTTTCTCTTTTCCTAAAATATATTGGGGGGGGGGCTGTCGTGATTGAAGGCAGCTTTTAGTTTGTAAGTCTTTTTCCCCCCCAAGTAAAGTATGTTAAATTGCCTTAGAAGGATTGCCAATTCCTCAATCCCTTATCTAAACTTTACTTTCTCATAAAGCACTATATGGGGTTGGGAGCTCCAAATAGTCATTCAAGTGGATTTTTTTCCTGGTAGTTTTAACTCAAGCAATCATTTTAGTTTTGTGCTCTAAATGGAATGAATTAAAGGATGCATTTTAAAGCACCTCAAACCACTGCATTTTGAGGAGGTGGCACTTAATAAAAAACAAAGAAACTAACCAACTGGGTGCAGGAATGTTAGATGTAATTTCAAATTGGAGCGTCAGATTCACTCACAAAATTGCCTTTCTCCTCTGGTACCATCTGATAATGCCCACGGAGTACTCCAGTCAACGCCAAAGTATCCCAATACTAGAGAAGGAAACTGGGACCTGAACATGAATTCGATCTTGTGAACTGTCTTTTTACTTCCTTGATGCACTTCCCGGGCACTGAGCCTCATTCCCACTCAGAAGATGAGAAAGCACCCACAGCACTGTACCCAGAGGTCTGAAAGAGTTGGATGCCCAGGATTTCAAGTGTTGTTAGCTAAATGAATGTCCCCCAGCCCTCACTCAGTCTCTGTCTCTCCCAACCCATCCTTGAGCCACTCTCCCCACTTCAAGTATAGTACAAGTTCACGCCTGAATGAAGCAAAGGAAACTAACAAAAACAAGACTCGGCAGCTTTATTCAGGGTGATTTTTTTTTTTTTTTTTTTACTAAAATGAACCAAAGCTGGATCCTGCACCTAGAACTCCACTATTGTAGGAGATGCACCGCACACTAACAGGGAAGCACCGCCTCCAGGCTGTGGGAAAGGGGCCTGGCTATGCTCCTCCTGTGATAGTTACAGTCCATGTGGAACCCAGCTCCATAAACGTTTTGTTGCTTGCTGGTCAGTCTTGCTGGTGAGTTGTCTCACAACAAGAGTCCCTGGGACCCAGTCCAAGGATGAAATTGAATCGGAAGGGTTAGAATGAGGCTGGGGTATGTACCAAGTTTTCAAAGAGTGCTGAGCAAGTAAAAAATCATATCGGATAGATATTGGTAGGGCCACCCAGGGCGTTTATCAAAGTGTTCTGATCAATTTCCAAGAAAGTGATCCTCATAGCAACTGGCAGCAAAACACCAGAGAGATTTTAAGCAGGGTGACTCATATTTCTTCTTTCTCAGGCCTTCTCCCACATCATTTAATTAATGATTTGATTAGTATCAATTGAGAGAGTTCTAGTGGCGGTGAGTAACAGTACTTAGCTGCTAACCGAAAAATCCACAGTGCAGCCTACCAGCCAGTGATGCCCACCTCCAAGGGAGAGAATGGTGGGACTCTTAACAATTGCAGCCTTGCAGTCTCTATCGGGCAGCTTCACTCTGTCCTAGAGGGTGGCTCTGAGTCACAATCAGTTCGAGGGCGGTGGGTTTGGTTAACATCCAGATTTATCAGGATGCCGACAGCGTTATACAACCGTAACTACTTTTATAGCGAAGAGTTTTCTACTTCTCCAAGTCCGCAAGAAGTTTCCATCTTGCTGCTGTCAATTTTAGACAGACGAGGAAGGGCCATCCCTGCCGATAGTAGAACACCTGAAAGTAAGAAGTCGCAGAGGAGGAAAAGGACGTCGGAAAATCACGGAACCACACTAATTTTCAGGACCCGCCTGGAAAATGCCCACAGAATCAGACTGCTCCTCCCCCTTACGCAGACTTGGAGCCCCGCAGGGGTTCCGTCTGGCACTCACTTCCCCAGCCTTTGTTTCCTTGCCTCCAGTCCGGTCCGGTGGTCCCACACATCCCAGGCAGAAGTTCCTACCAGCGTGGTCTCTTTTCTCCTGCTATGCTTTCCTGGGATGATACCCCCTTGAGATTGAGCAATGGCGTTGTGGGTGCTGATCGGGTTTCTAGGGATATCGTAATAATATCAGCACAAACTAATCCAGGAATAGTGTCAGCTCCGAAGAACCTGCAAGTTCTCAAGGCCATGCGCTCGCTCGCTCGCGGTGCCAGTTGAACGAATTTTGCGCCCTTCTTGGGCTGGACTGTCTTGGTGGGCCACCAACCTAGGGGCTAAGGATGCTGCTCCAGGCGTCTCCGCCTGGGGTCCATCCACTACATCTGGGTGTGCTGGGATGACCCCAGCCTCAGAGCAGTGCCAAAGAGCAGCTCCAGAGGCTAAATGCTGCCTGTATGCTGCTCCCCAGCTGTGGCCTGGCTAGGCTACAAAGACTGCAGCCAATGAACCACTGGCCAGCCAAGACTCCGAAGAGGACAGAAATCATGCAGCTGATCCGGTACACAGGAGCGCGGGGCTTGGCCTCTTGCCTCCCAGTTGCCCTGCCATTCCTAGGGGCCCAGTTTGTCCCGTGAACCCCAGGCTGTGACCTTGTTGTCCAACAGATCAGGAGAGGTACAGGGATCTATGTCAATAAAATCTGAGGGGAAGCGTGAGCCCAGGCCTACCTGTAAAGGTGCAAACTTGCCCCCGACGGGTGGGACAACTCATCAAATTTGCCAGTTTAAGAGGCCGGTAGCAAAGGGTCTTCTCGGCCCTAGGCGCCCTTCCGCATTTGCCTGCAATGCTGCGGGCTCACCAGCAGCCCGTGTTGCTCCCAAAGCGGCCAAGAAGGTTTTCATGCCCGCCCCTGCTGCCCTGCCCTTGGGAGAGGCCAGCTTCTCTAGCCTGCGGAGGGCCCCTCTGGAGGGAAGGAGCCTGGTCCTGGCCAGTGCCTGGGACACTTCCCCGCGAGGGTGCCCACCCAGTGCACCCAGTGTCTACCTCATTCAGATAACTTTTTCCAAGACCCTGTAACAATAAGATTTGAGGACTATGCTGAAGGCCTTTCTTCTCCCATTCCCCCCCCCCCACTCCGCCACCCCCACCCCCCTAACTCCCTCAGGTCCAGAACAAGACTCTTCTGTGGCCTGGATTAAGGACTCTCTGCAGGCACTTTTCCTAACGGGCTTTCTCAAAATAAGCTGCCTGCCTCTGAGGATCAAATCATGGACGAAGGGGAGGGGTGGGAAGGAGGGTGGGGAAATCTGCTGGTAAGGGTGTCATTCGTTTCAGGGCCTCTTTCTCAAAAGGCTTCCTGCTCCCACCGGGTCGCCACTGCGTCCACTCCTAGTCACTCAGAGCGAGGACAGGCCACTCTATGCCTCATCTACGCCCAGTGCGCCCGGTCGCCCAGCTGCTGTGGCCCCGGGGGAGAGGCAGTCCCTCCCCTGCGGCAGTCTCCCTTAATAGCTGCCAAGGTGTCCACCCGGCTTCTTGATCTTCGGGTGCATGTGAATCTTCCTCGTAAACGATTTGCGAAGGAAATAAAAGACCTTTAGAGCTATCTTTCCTTTCAAGTCCTTAAGACGCCTCTAAATCTTTCTGGGCGTGAGTGGCCGGCGTGGGGGCGGGGTGGGGACCACCGGGTGCCCAGTGAGGGGCCGGCTGGAGCAGAAGCGGGCAGGGGAGGGTTAACTGCTTTGCGATCTCCCTAAGCTCCTCCGAAATGCCAGTGCACTCTCTTGGCCACCGGGTTTCTGGGTGTTGGAGCCTCGTCCCTCCTGGCATTTATCTGCAATGGAGCTGTCTGTCTGTCTAACCTAGGCCTGGATGCGCCCGGCCCGGGTACGTGGGGCGGCTGGGGGTGGGGTGGGGGCGGAGGGGGGCCCCGGGGTGGAGTTAGTCGCCTGCCTATTTTCATATTCATTAGAACTGGGAGGTTTCCCGAGGAGCCCCACTGCGTTTCAAGATATAAAAGCAACTTCGGGTGCCCCCTTCGCAGCCGGGACGTCCTCCAGGGCTCCGAGCCGGGCCGCTCCCGGCGCTGCTGCGCGCGC